TTCCTTATTTTTTTCCTTTGCAGTGCTTAGCTCGAGCTGAACTGTAGCACAATACTCAACCAGCAGTCAAAAGGGAGAATGAAAGAAAAAAGCAAAATACGCACAGACACAACTCTACGCAGCCGCAACGAAACCAAAGAGAGGGTCACCCACACACAGTACGCGGCGCACACCTCTCACACACAAACACGCACAGGCACCCCCCAATCCCACACACAACGCAAACGTGATACATCACGGCACCCTCCCACACAAACAACGAGGGTAAATTGGATCTCCCTCGACAGCCCGTGTGAATTGCACGACACACACAACCACTGCGATGAGGCTTCTATTTTCTTCTCGTATTGCACTCGCCATTCTGATCCCCACAACTCCGTGTGTGCGTAGCCACACGTAGATATCACCCATTCACGGCGAAATTGGCTGCCTCGTCGCGGCGGTGTTCTGTGTCGCAATCCGCTGGGGTGCAAAGGAGCAGAACACCCCGCCACCGTCGCCACCAAGCCACACAACCCAAAAGAAAGGCCCAAAGACAGAGCAGGACAAAGTGTCCGCGCGGACACACCCACAGTGGCAGCAAACTCAGACAAAAGAAGCCGCCCACCCCGTACCGCACTGTTGCAGTTGGCGGCGCCGCGCTTCAAGACAACACTCCCACACGCAGCGCACACTATTCCTTTGTTGTTGTCTCTGCCTCTTCATAGCCACAGAAGGCAGCAGCAGCCACAGACGACACTGCCAGCACCAACTACGAAGGCATCCTCCACGCACACTGCAGTATATATATATATATATATATATATCGTGTGTATGTGTGTGCCCGCAGATACAAAAACAAAAAAGAAGGAAGAAGAGTAAAGCGTGTGAGGACGCACACACACACACAGAAGAGATGCAAGACACAAAGAGAAAAAAAGCAGATCACCACAACTCAAAATGGCACCGCAGCCTACGCAGCTGCAATACACATGAAATATGATTTACCAAAAAAAAAATTTTACTCCTCATGATTTTTTCACAAAAAAAAATTTCTTCAAAAAACGTTTTCGCAAAAAAAAAATATTGTCGTGGAAGGCCCCTGTGCGATCTTTCAAACAAAAAAAAAGTGTTCTTGTTTTGGCCACATATAAAAATAAATGTTATATTCGTTTCAACCACTGAAAGGCTCCGGGTATCCAGAAACTGTTTAGCATGGACAAGGACCCGCGGTGCGTTGCTGTGATTCTCATTCCTTCGGTCCTTCTTCCATCGGCGGACACACAATGCCGAGAGCGTCCGCAGACGCTCAACGAAGGCGGTGAGTTGTTTTTCTCAGTGTCTTTTCGAACGAATTTGATGGCCTGCGCGTCAGCCGGCACTGTGGCACACATCCGCACCGCGAAAAACCAAGACGTGAAGGAGAGAGAGAGCCCCGATCCCTCCCGTGGTGACCGCAGTGCAGGGGCGCAGTGAAGCATCTCCCGCCGCCAGGCAAACACGCAGACTCAACGCCGTCGCCGAGAACAAACCGACAAAACAACAACCGGCAAACCAACGAAAAAAGGCACCCATAAAGCAGTAAACCAACAACATACTGAACAGATACACACGAAAAAAAAAATCGGTGAATGACATTCCGTTATTGATAGAGGCAAACAATATAACAAACAAAAAGGGCGGAATAAAATAAATACATGAGGCTTGCGCTGTGCTGGTACCGAGGGGAGAGCGCAATTTGTGGGTCCAAGAAAAAAAAATTTATGCGTAAACGAAAAAAAAAAAACGGGAAATAAAATAAAACACGTGTCCACATGAAACTTTATTTACTTCTCAGGGCGCGTGGAGAGACGGAGGTGCTCTCAGTAGAAGCACAAACTCCCCTCGACCGGGGTTCACTCAGCATAGGGCGGCAAAGCCCCATAGACCCAGCAGCAGCAGAAGCAACCGAGACAAGTCCGCACGCGTGGAACTGTCAGCTGTATGTTTCCATGAAGCATTGGAGTCGTCAACTGTTTTGAGTTCTTGCTCACTCAGTGGGCGGTTGTACAAAAAGACATTCTTCACTGTCACGCTACCATCTTTGCCGCCGCCAAAGTAGAACTGTGCGATTTGGTGCCTCCGTGCCTCAAGGGTTGGTAGTGTGTCGGAACTCCCCACGAGCACGCCGTCCACGTACACGGAGCCCTCCTTGCCCTGCAGCATGAGCGCCACTTTGTACTCCTTCCCCAGCTCCCAAGTGCTGTTGTGTGTTGTTGTTGTCGTGCCGTTGAAGACTGTCCCCCACTGTTTCTCCGTCGTGTACGACAGCCCCACAAACGTCGTGTTTTCATTGTCATTCAGGCCCGCACCCAGCAGAGGAGCAATTCCGTTCGTAACCTCATGGATGGTCACCGTCGCCACAAGCGTAAACTCGTAATCCACAACGCTGTGCACATAGCCATAGTCCCACATGTTCACGGGCCACATGGCGTATGATTCAGACCCCGTGAAATTAAAGCCATCTTCGACCTTCTTTGCATTCGTCACAATTGCATTCACGCAACGGTACGCGTCGTTCCAACTTCCATCACCCGATGCATCCGACAAGAATCCAACCAGACCGGCCGTGGGCACAGACGAATTGGAGAGGAAGGAGTCCAGTTTTTCCCAAGTCTCCAAGACGGACGTGATCGTCTTCAGCTGCTCCGTTAGGGGAGTAATAGCCAGGCTGCTTTCCCTGAAAACGCCCCTCTCTTGTAAAAGGTGCAATGCATCTTTCGAGTGCAGCAGGGTGTTGCCTAGCATCGGCTTCGTGTCCATGGAAATGGGCCCGACGTGAAACGTGCGGTTGTTGTCAGCAACCCAAAGGTGGAGCGTGGTGCCTTGCAACGTGTCCTCAGGGGGAATCCCTTTCTGAGTGTACAGCATAACCTTCTTTCCAGCGATGGTCGCAGTGGTGAGGGACCCCACTCCCTCAACTGTTCGCAAAGAGGCTGGTAACAACATGGGCTGCACGCGTGTCAGTGTCCTGACAGCCTCCGTCCACGTTGCCCCCAAGTCCCTCGACTCAAACATCTTGGAGAGCGAATCGCATTTGGCAATCATGAGAAGCTGCCCCTGCTCCCACTCAACGATGAGGGGGTCTCTACACTTTACATGGACCATCCCCTGTGAAAGCACCCAACTTTTGCCGTCGTCCTTCGAATAAATGATCATCGAGACAAGTTCCTTGTCTCCTGTCCTCCTCGCCGTCACAGGAAACACGAACGTGCCATCCTCCATCGCAACGCCTGAGCCACCGCCACCAACAAATTCCTTTAGGCCACGTTGTTTAGCAGATGGTTCGATCTGTGGCAAAAGCGAGGTGGATTTGCCCCATTGGATGAGTTTATCTTGCGTGGCCTCACCCACGAGCAAATCAAGACCCTGTGAGGATTCAATCCACCTCCCCGATGAAGGATCATACTTCTGATGATAGCCCCCCACAAGTAGAAAAACCTTGTTACCCTTTGTAATTGTTGTAGGTCGGGGCGCATATCTCAGACGGTCGTTATGCTCCTCTTGCGTGGTCGTGTTAAAGATGTTGTACGCCTTCCATTTGTTTGCACGGACCTTAGCGACAAAAGACGACCAGCTCTCCGCAGAGTCAATGTACCCCGCCACAACATCAGCGTAAGTGACTGAAGTCTGAATATCACGGGAGTATTGAAAGAAGATGTTACCCTCGGCAAGTGCAACCAACACTCCACCAGCACTGGCGAGGGAGGGGTAGGCAAAAGAATCCCTCGTTTGACCTTGACCTTGTGTTTCCACAACCGTTTGACGCAGCACCAAAAGATCGACAGGGTCTGGTATTTGCATTTCCTTTGGTTTATTCCTCTCGGCGTAAACAGCCGTACTGCCAAAGCATATCAACAGCACGCAGAGGAGCAGTACCGAAAAATAAAACGGAGAACGGCACATGTTGGATTGTCGCTGCTCACTCATTCTTTTCCCTCCCTCGTTGTGGTGGATCCGCTCAGGCCGCGACGATTGCGTGTGTGTTTGCGTGTGTGTGTGTGTGTGAGT